TTAATATTCTGGGTTTGATTCAAGACTGATATTTTCTAGGATTATGTCTACAGAAGACCAGCTCTTTAGGCTGCTATCAGCTTGTGACTTCTTTTCTACAGAGTCTTGGCTAACTCCTAGCCAAGACTTGGCTAACTCTAAAGATAGGACCCTTGTCTCCTGTATCCTCATAACTCCAGGTGCAACAGGCAGCTTTTCTGTCATGTTGAATCCAAGCCTGAAAATCTTTTGCTGAAAAGATGTTAGTTGAATACTTATATAAAATAAGTGTCATTTGAGCATTAACACCAGACAGTGAGTTGTTGGAAGCAGTTGAAGTGTCTATTCAAAATGTCATTCCAAATCTGATACTCTGGACATGATTGGTGTCATTGTTAGTGTTGTCAAATTGACTGACAGAAGTTAGAATCACTGGGAAAATGGGCCACTGGGCATGTTTGTAGGGGATTATCTTGATTACATTTATTGAGATAGGAGGAACTGTCCACTGCAGGTGGCACCATTTCCTAGGCGGGGGATCCAGGATTGTACAGAAGTGGAGAGAACTGAACTGAGAACTAGCAGGCGTTCATTAATTGCTGTCTTAGAACATAACCTGACCAACTGTTTCAATTTCCTGCTGTCTTGACTTCTCTACCACGGTGACTTCTAAGTTGAATTGTGAGTTAAAATAAACTCCCCCTTATGTTGCTTTCTTTTGTCAGAGTATTTTATTAAAGCAACAGCAAAGGCCCTAAGATCATGAGTTATTGCTGTTTTTTTTTATTCCAGGCAAGAATAAGTTCAGAGCTGTAAGAACCCAGAACTCCTGGTGTTCAGTCTGATACATACCTGGTGGGAACTATACATAGGTCCTGGTAGCTTACCAATAGGATTCCACGATCTATTCCTTTCTCTTTGCACACTCAATGCTACCCTGAGGCACTGTGGCTGGAGTTCTGACAGGGTTTTGTCTGTAATGTTGGTGCAAATAGTGTAATATTAGGTTTAAATTCCAGACCTGTGAATCCATTAACCAGAGTCAGGTTTGATTGGGTGAGATGGAATCTGAAAACTTGTATTTGCATAGCTCCTTCAGATAACGTCGATAGTAAGATTTAGATCCACTGATTTGTAAAGGCATCTTGTTTGTCTTAGCAAGGCAGCTAGGCTTTCTGTAATATTGCTTCCACCTCGATTCCCTAGTTCCTTCTCTTGTACTCGTCCCGTGTTTGTGCCCTGCAAAGGCCCTTTGCAAACATGACAGGTTCTGTGTGGTGCTTTCCTACGCTCATGCTTTGGCATCTGCCTATAACTTCTGCACCAGGTGTCTCTTGAGTGAACTAACACCCTTCAAGGGCCAGTTTAATCTTCATCTCTCTCTCTCTCTCTCTCTCTCTCTCTCTCTCTCTCTCTCTCTCTCTCTCTCT